GATTTATAGCCTAATAGATTAAAATATATCTAACCTAATTATATTTAAAGCTTAAAACCTAAATAAAATATATCTAAAAAGCTTTAACCTATTACTCGAGTACTTAGAGGTTTTCTACCCTTACTTAGAAGTAGAACTCTAAACTAGTAAGTTCTACTAGAATACTTTTATAATTACTTACTAAGATATGGAAGCTTATAGAGAAGTATATAGTAACCCTTTATTAACTCTCCTAGACTTTATAGAGACTATTAAAGGCTCTATTATAATATAGGAGTATACTAATCCTTAGGTAGAAACCTACTTTACTAAAGAGAGCGAAAATATTAACTAATTAGAAGCTAAGACTTTATTTATAAATTAATAATTTAGATAAGTTTCTTATAGTAAATTATATAGTTCGCCTTATTCAAAAAAACCTTAATTATAATACTATATAGACCTAGCCTCTACTATAGAGATATAAGAGATAAGAAATACTATATTTATAAGAAACTTAACTATTAGTTATTAAATTATACTCTAGAAGAATAAGTAGTATCTAAGAACTAATTTAATAACTAGTATTTAAATAAGTATAATAATACCTAGTTTTATAGTTTTCTTATAGAATTTAAACTAATTAATACCCTCTTATTACTTAACAATATACTTAATACAGAAGATAAATAAGACTTAGAAATATACTTTTCGAAAGAGAAACCTAAGTATATTATAAATAAGATATTCTATATCTTTTTAAAAGATATAGATATAAAAGATATATTTTAAATAATAATAGACTTATATAATAAGTTGTTTTTATACATAATTAGTATAGGAAATAATACTAAGAACTAGTAAGTCGATATTAAAGGAATATAGCTTTAGTACTTAAGCTTCTACTTTTTTAGTATTCTAATAGATATAGGAGCCGCTAGAGTATCCTTAGTAGGCTATACTTAGTACTCTATGTATAAATCCTTATTCCCTACTACCAAATTAGATAAATAGATAGCTAAGACTACTAAAGTATAACATAGACTTAGTATAATAGCTAATATTAGTATGGTAATACTTAATTCTTTTATAGGCCTAGTTACTTTCTAGGTTATACTAGAAGGCGTTAATATATCTTTTATTAATCATATTAATAACCTAGATAAATTAAAAGTCTTATATAATAACTTAATGTAACGAATACTCAAACTGGCTAACTAAACTTGGCTGGGTATTCGCTGGTTGGTATGCTATGATAAGAAGAAGACTATCGGGTTGTTCACTTGGAAGTGAACTCGTTACTTGTATCAAAGATGTCAAACTAATATGATAAGATTGATAACTAAGTTGAGCACGAAGCTCCTATCTAATGGCAGACGTGCCAGTCTTATATAGAACCTTCTTGCTCGTTGATCATTATGATCACCCTGATCCCACTGATCCAGCTCAGCGTTGCTCAGTGGATCACCAATGATCAATGACGGTCACATGACTTCTATCAGATGAAATCCCTGGATCGCTTAGCTAGCCTAAGCATCCCTATAATATGATAAGATTGATAACTAAGTTGAGCACGAAGCTCCTATCTAATGGCAGACGTGCCAGTCTTATATAGAACCTTCTTGCTCGTTGATCATTATGATCACCCTGATCCCACTGATCCAGCTCAGCGTTGCTCAGTGGATCACCAATGATCAATGACGGTCACATGACTTCTATCAGATGAAATCCCTGGATCGCTTAGCTAGCCTAAGCATCCCTATTTGCTATAAGAGTGTGTTGCTGGTGCTTAACCTGTCAGGACGCCGCCTGGTCTTTGCTTATCACATGCCAACACGTGATTCGTGACATATTTATATCTTAGGAGTCTACTAGCTAGAGGCTAGCTTTAATCTATCCTTTACTACCTAGGTAAGTAGCCTAATACCTATAGACGTCTAGACCTTTAATAAGAGAGTTAAGTAGTAATAAGTTAATTAGGATTAAGGGATTAACTTTATTCCGCTTAAATGATCTTTACTTAAACTTATCTACTTTATAAATAGATTATTTATAAATAACTTAGACTATACCTTCTAGCTAGGTTCGGTCCTAGTTCTTATAAACTATTATAATAAAGCGAATATTTTATACTAGTTCTTAATAAAGTATAAAAGAGTTACTTAAAGCGTCCTAGCCTTAGAGCTCTACGCTATTAGCTAGGGATACGATATAGCTATTTATATAAAGACTACCTTGTCCTAAATCATTAATTAACCTATACTACTCGAAGTCTACATAGACTCGAAATTAATTTATAATTACCTTATTAAACTCGGTATAACTAAAGAAAAGAGATTAATAATTAATATAATATATTTACGTAATATATTTAAAACTAAGGATATCGACTATTTAACGTAGATTAAATATAAGGATAACCCTACTAATACTATAATAAAGTTAAAGGCGAATAGCGCTTCAAAAGACTTAATCGATATAAATATAATTAAAATATAAGCGAAAGCTTAGGTAGAAAGGAGCTAGCTAACACTATAGAAGTTATAGATATTATTTTATTATTTTATTATTTTATAAAGAACCGCTAGTATTATAATATATTCTACTCCTTTAGTTACGTTATTTTAGACCTACCTTATTCGAGTACTTAATACTCGAACTCCTATACTTACTTAGCTCCTTAATAATCGAATAACAGATATAACCACCTATTACTTATTTACTTAATTCTGTTAAACTGCCTCTAGGAGTTCGACAGATATCTCTATACCAACAGTTACTGAGAACCTAGCCAAAAAAAGACCACTGTACATGGTCTGACCTCCTCCAAACGGCCACCAAGATGCGCTCCGTGAGAGGTTTTCCTTTTGCCATCTTTCTGACTTGAACTTGTACGGATTCTCGCCGAATACCTGTTCATCACAATGCAGCAATCGATGGGGCACCATGACGCGGTTTCCGTTTCGCATCACCTTGCCACCAATTATGTTGTCTGCGTGATCTAGTATCAGCCAATTGTAAATGTTCGAAGAAAGATAGACTGATGCAAAATAAGGATGAAAAATCAGGATAGCCAAGTTATCATTATTAACTCCAAGTGCCTTCATCTCGTCTTCCATGGCAGTGATTAACCAGGCAGTGCTATTACTCCTCTTACTCTAATAAATTTTGAAGTGTTCCTTCGGCGAAGCAGTGACCTGGGCCCTGGCTCTTGACATGTCGTGAGATAAAACCTCGGGGTACTGGTAAAGCATCTTCTAGATCACTTCATAGAATATCAAGAACGCATCTGGTAGTTTTAGATCGATCTGATCAAGCGTGTCGCTGAAGTACACATGCTGCCCGAGACGAATGAAATAATCAGAGCACCACTGATAAAGGGGAAGCTCGATATGATCCGAGCTTTGAGAAACAGCATACTTACAGTACACATCTTAGAAAGCGTCTCAAGACGCAAAAGGCAGTCTATTCGAAAGTAAACTTGTTGTTAAAGAAGGGCTAGTTGGTTTCCCAGGTGAAGTTAACGGGTATATATCTTTTGTACTAAGACTCTAAGGGATTCCCCTGGCGGGGTTAGGAGATCAGACTTGTCCGCAGGATGTGCAGAAGACATTATTTGGACGACGTACTCTGTGACACTATTACTTCTCATGAGGCCCTGGACGAAGTCCTCGAAGGAAAGCGTGTCCTTGTTTCGATAGACCTCGGCCGATTGTTTCGCTTAAGTAATTACATAGAAAGTCAGCCGAAAGCCTTCAAAGCAATAGGCTCTTGTATATCTTGAAAATAGCTCTTAAGCTTCTGTAAGTTCTGAACTGTATCTTCATAGTCTTAATACCTTGCCTACATTCGAATCTCGGAAGAATGCTCGTGCGTGACCTGGACTCTGGTGATTAGAATTCTAGAATAGGTGAAATTAAGATGTGATATCACTAACCCAGACCTATAGAGCAACTATAGAGCAGGTCGTCAGTACGGAATCTGGGTTATCTCAACTGAAACTTACGTGGGATCCAGTAGGGAAGCTGTTTAGGTCGTTCGGGATGCAAAAAAGGGGCGACAGCGAACCTCCAGTATCGCCATGAAACTAACGCTAGGATCAACAAAATCGTTGCATTTACAAAACCGAAAAAACCTCAGTCTCTCCTCGGTCTGGACAGGAAAATCGGCTTGTGAGGTAAGATTAGAAGCAAGTGACATTAGGCCAGGATCTTTGGAAAGCAAGGCCGTTTGCAGTGATAGTTGTGACAATGACTCATCGATCTCAGGTGGATTCAAAAGCTTTGCAATGGAGTACAGAATCCGTGCCAAATGGAGTATAAATGTCCGTTATTATGAGAGGGTTTGCCTGGTATCTTTCGGATATTGACGTACAAATAAGAAAATGCCTGGTCGGAGCATGAGAAATGTTAACCTATCGGTGTACCGCTCGGCAAGAACAATCATTGACTAATGTGCGAAGGAACAGGGGAAAGAATCACGAGCGCTCTTGGCTAACAAATACTAGTATTTAGAACTTGTAGCTGTGCATTACACCTCTTAGATCCTTTCCAGTGCTTTATAAAGCTGTAGAGGGAATGAGGAGTCGAAGACCCACCACAACAATACTCAGACCTGGTGCCAATACTCTATTCACTTCGTTATCTAAATTGACATGGCTAGTGAGGACGAGCTACTTTCAAAATCAGTCTACGAATGCCATGCCTCTTACTAAAACAGAACCCGAGTGGCGGGGAAGCATTGGATTTTATACTGTATAGAAACTTCCCCTTTCTGTTCCCGTAGCCTGTTTCAAAGCCGGCAATGATCGTCGCTCATCATTTACAAGGAAGTGTAGTCTCTTATCGACTGTTGTACAACCGGCAACTAGGATTCATACTTAACTTCTGCTATCACGATCGAATGTATAAAGTTTGGGCTATGTTGCATACACCGCTTCCTTAAGCGGGAGCTCGACGAGCTACTTTCCGGTATCTTTTTGGTTGTATTTTCATGAAAAAATGGTGTTACGTTTTATTTACGTTGAACTGTACAACCCTGACATTTCCCCTATATACTCGTGTACAAGTAGAATTTCTACTTGTCTGAAATGAGCTCCTTACAAAAAGCATTCTCGCCATATAACCTCTTTGCAAAGTCCACCCACCCCCTTGCCCCGATTTCTTCTAATAGATCCATTAGCTATTAGGGCGAACTGCGAATATGAACAAGTCACTTACGATACGCCTCCACTTCAATCGTGTACGTATATATCGCGTTTCCAACCGTCAGCACCGGCATCGTTGCAGAACCTTCCAAACTGGTCCCCTCCAATATGCTTTTGTGCACTCTCGCAATATTGGAGGCCTGAGCTGTGACTTTCGTCGACATAATGACAGTCTTCACATTTGTGGTACACCTCGTTCCCTGGCTCGCCGGTATTTCTATAAAAGTTGCAGGTTTGTTCTGTTTTCGGTCCATCGATTACGCCATTGACGGTACATGCAGCCGTCCAATGCTGTTCTGAGGCTACACCAATCGCCAAACAAGCGACTGAAAGGAGTGTTGGAATTTTCATTTTGTCGAGGAGACTTTGAGACAGGAGGCAATGCTTTTGAAGTGAGTGTAATGAGAGAATAGGTAGCAAGGATTCTGTGAAGAGTGTGCATGCGAGTAGAAGCTCTGCTTATATACAAAGAAAAGGCAGGGCCGCTTGACAGAACGTGACCTCATTTTCGGTGGCCTATTTCAGAAGAGGAGGGAGTTCATAATACGAAGTAAGGCTCTTTTGATTGCATTTCGCTTCCAAGTTATGGTCGGGGCATAGGACAATGCTGTGTGAGTACAGTAAAACAAACAGTGCATTCGAAATTAAATTGGGCTAAGCTGGAAGGTCCCTGAAATTCCAGATGCCAAGCTCTGTAGAAGTCTACAGGAGAATTAAATAGAGATCTCTGCTTGTTTGGTAAAAATATTATAGAACGTTACTATAAGTTGCTCGTATTCGTACGATCATCATCATGTGTCGACCTGCCAAGTATCGGGCGACGTCTCTCGCCGAAAACATGTCATAATATGTTTTGGCGATTTGGTCTGAACCTCGTCTTTGGTTTCGATTTCTTGAGAGTCCCATATCTTGGTTCTCTTCCACTCCCTTGCAGTAAATTCAGCCATATTAATAACCTACATCAAGAACATGACTTTCAAGAACACGAAGAAAAGTGCGAACGTCGAATCCTAACATCATAGTAACATAGCCCCGTTATGTTACGGGGAAAACCGGCTACAAGGATACTCACCATAAGGATATCCTCGTTTAAATACTGAGCATATGCCGCCCCGACCATATCCTTGTAGCGAGCTTTTTTGGATATACGATACGATGCTAAGCATGGCTACAACACAATGGGAGTTGTGGTTACCTGTTCCTGCTTGTATAGGGACCAAGGTGAGGATGCAGTGATTCAATTGATGGTGTAAGGCTTGTAGTATACAGGTAGGAGAGCGCGGATTTACGGCCTGTTCGTCTCATAACCACCCAGAAGATATATTTAGGATGCACTATACAAACCAGAGTTCTATACCCTATACGAATACTAACTCGTAACGAACAATAAAATCGTTTAGCTCGCAAACCGGATACTAAGCACATACTACTCCGAATAATCCTTTCTACTTAAACAAACACACATGCACCAGTAGGCAGGCCGCGTAATAAGGGTTTGTTACGCCACCTTATAGTAGTAAGCGCCTACAAACTTTGGCTGCGCCAACGAACAAATTCTATTATACGAGATCCCACAAAATTTGAAACTGAACGCGGTGAAACTTCTCGGGGAATTCTAGATTAATGCGATATCGCCCTTAACACCTTTCCCACATCCACAATAGAATATCGTGTATTAATCCAGTTCGAACATTCCTCCTTTGTGCAATCCAAGCCTCAAGTATAAGAAGATAATCATAATGGAAGACCCATCGACAAAAGTGGAAAATCAATTGACTTGGATTATTTGGAGACTTTGTACAAACAAGATAGTAGAGAGTTGTCATTTCAACTATCTACGGCTTGATACCCCAAGACTCGGCGCAGCTCCTTCAGCATGAGATAAAAGATGCTACTGTATTTGTCTCACTTGGATACAGAGCAACTGGAATCCAACCGACAAGTTCCAATGGAGATGTGAGGAATGCGATTCCAGCGTACTAAATCAATAACCCACTGTGGGACTGTCTTTGTAGTACCCTAATTATATACCGCAAAACCGTCCTTAGACTCCTACCATTCCCTACTTCCATAGAAAATATCTTGACAAGTCGACAACAGCTGTCAGCTCGACAGTAAATCTCCATCCCATCTCTTCCAATCAGAAAATTTCCAACAACCTCATCGTTCTTGTTAACATCCATATCATCCTTCGCTACAATAACAAAAAATGAAGTTTTAAAAGAAGCGTAACCTAACTTCCCACTTGGTCTAACACTCCAATAATACCGGACCGCCAACAGTACATCCTCTCAATATTCCCCTCGTTATAGAGATTAATTCCTTCATTTTATGGCTAGTACGAGTAGATGATCTCGGAACCTTCGTGGCTTGTTGCTTTCATTCTCCAGACTTGGTGTAGTTCTTTGAATCTCTACTACAGTAGAACACGGTTCACGTTACTCACATACCTGAAGTTTTCAGCTCAGACTAAACTACAATGTGCATCTCATACACGTACGAGTAAATCTCAGCATGTAGCCAATTTTCCGTTGTCCACTCTACATCAAAACCATCAACCTTTCGCAGCAGAGAGAGGGCGAGTTTACTGGTATAATCAATAGTGGTGGAATGAACCCCAGTACCCTAATGATTCCACTCTTCTCCACAACAAACATTAATTCATCACCCATCTCCTCCTTCTCTCCTCTCCACTCCACAAGCCTTAACACAGCGAAGCTCCTCACTACTCACCAACTTCCCAAAAGACACCCTGCTACATTCAGACACAGAGTATCATGCTCGTACCAGTAATCAACAACAATCCACATATCCCCTCTCTATCCCATCATCCCAGCATCCCACGAAATATATATCTTATACCAGCTATCTCCATCATCTCTCTACCATCAGCTCCTAGCTATGCTAGCACGCCGCCGCCGCTGCCCGGGGTGTAAAAGGAAGCCTGTCTGCATGCCTCTAGGACCGTTGACGGTGCGAATCTTGGTTGTATAGGCATGGATATCTACCATCAACTACACAGTCCACGAACTCAAACTATCCTCTCCAATTCTCCGCCTGAAAGTTCGCTTGCGATTCGACAATAAGGCAAAGTTCGACGGTAACCCCCCGGAGGGGGTTCAGTCAGATGAAAAACCCGCCATGAACAAGTAAGCAAGGAAGGAACGATTATGTAAACAGAAGGGGAAACAAAAAGAAGGATACCGTGAGGTGTTTTGGAATTATGCTCTTGAGAGAGTTGAGACGTCGGACATCCTTCTCTTGTCTGCGCATGATCGTTTTCTTTGATTTTGACGGCGTTGGGGATCTGAGATGAGGAGTCGGGTTGTGGAATATATAGGTATGAGGTAGTGAGTACATTGGTTTATGATAGAATGAATTATGCAATACAGACATCCTTTATAGAAGTGACAGGATAGCTAAAGATATTCTAGATTTCTTCTGACGCTTGTGACTAGACTCCTTTCCCTCCTTCGAAAGTTGGATGATGTTGGGATGAGCTGTTTGTCTTTGGCTACCACAAGGTCTGGTGTGAGTTACTGGAGTTGTTCATTATTCTCCTTGTGGGTGTACTTACTAAAGAGCTATGTCCACGACCTCTACGGAAGAACTTCTGAGTTGTTCACACTGTTTGTTGAGGTTGGACTTATTGTTAGATTTTCATCTTTTCGTTCAAATCACAAGGGATTATATAGAAAAATAAAGATTAAATTATTACCTAGATATACCAACTGGCCTTCTATCAGGGCTGTAATTTAGTAAAGGAATGTACGTGACTGTACGTATCCGCAGGTGTGAGATGTAAATGAAACAAGAAATGTCACCATATTTATGTCTACTTTGGAAGCACTTTACGCGTACTAGATCCATATAAACACCAATCCAAGCATGTGAGCCTCAATTTGACCCAGTCATCGCATCAAGTTTTGCGTACACGTTATTTTTTATGTCTCGATACCTCCGTACTCCGGAAGGTAAACAGTAACCCAGTCCTCAAACCTCTAATCCCCAAACCCATCATCACTCCTCTCTCCCTTTCCACTATCCACCTCAACCTCCCTCTCAAAATCCGCTCCACAAACAACCGTCTTCCCAACGCCAAACCCCCGATAGAGGTCCAGCCAAGTATGTCGATCCCTACAATCACTCGCTCCAAACCCGTCTAGCACCCTACACGCAGGCATATACCGATTCATCAGTCCCCTCTCAGCCTTGAACCACGGCCTCGGGAATCCAGGATCGTGATAATGGACTATCTTCGCTTCGTCAAGAGCGTCATCTGGATCCCATTCCTCGTTTGGCGTGGAGAGAGAATTGTGGGCTAGGTAGGGTGTATGGTCATCACGCCGGAACTCATTGGTGGTGAGGTGATAGGGCCGCTGCGGGATCCTGAGGATTTTGCTGCCGAACTTACGATGGAGAAGTTTGAGGGCTGGTACTGGGCGTGGAGTTGGGGGAGCGATGGAGGAAGAGTATGATTTGAGTAAGGATTGGAAGTCCTTTGTTGAAGGTCGTATCAACATCGTCCTCGTATCGTAATCCCATTCCTCTTTGCCGTGCTCGTGGTACACCCACGGCATCGCGATCGGCGCGTCAGGGAACAAGAACAACTCGTCCAGATTCTGGAGGAGCAAGGCACCGGGCGAGAGAACTAGGACGCGCGAGTACTCTGTGAGATTGAAGGCTATCAACCTGGGATCTAGACCTTCTGTTCCCTTTTCTGGTCCTCTCGTCCACATCGTGATTCGACTTAGAGCGGGGAGAGGAGACAGGTCGACGTATAGTTCCTCTGCTGCATTCAGAAGTCGCTCGATCCTCTCTTCCTTCCTCTTGCCCTTCTCGCCCTGCTCCAGCCCCCAATCCTCAGGATAAAACATAACCCTCTACAAAACATTAGCGCCATTCTATCTCCCTCTGTCCCTCCTTTCCTCTCAATCAATGACGCACTAACCTGCGCCCGACTCCCAATCTCCTCCATCCCACTCCACCCCATAACAGCCTCACAAAGCTCCCTCTCACTCCTCACAAACATCGCATAGTAAAACCCTGTCCAATCGATCTCCTCGTCATCAACCTCGATACTAATCACGTCCACGTCGCCATCATGATTATGGCGTAGCACCCACCGGAAACCGATGAATAGACATAGACCTGTTACGAGGAGCTTGAAGGCAGGAGAGGAAGCGAGGGATTTCATGCGTCGAAGGTAGTAGCGGGGTCCCGCCATAGGGGAGTGCATCAAGTGGAATCGAGGCTGACGACAAGCTGCCTAGATTTCTGGGGAAAGCTTATATTTATGCCGATCCCTGGGCTCTGGTCTGGGCAGAAGAACCCCGCCATAAAAAGGGGAGGCGGGGGAGTCTCCACAATAGTGACAACTCCTCCAAATAAATTCGGGAGAATGTTCCCCAGATCCGATTGTTTTTCTTTCGCCTATTCATGGCTTCAATTGTATACTACAAGTAAAAAAGCTATGGTACTACGGGTATTGTACAGCTCTAAAACGCCAAATGCTATGCTATGCATGACTTTCCAAATTCCCTCCCACACCCCCATCCGACTCCTTACCCAAAATACATTCCCTCATTGCTCATCATGATCCTCCATCTGAGGCGCCGGGGCATTAATCAACCAGCCAATGCCAGATGCCAGCCCTCCAACGGCAAGGTTCTTCACCTGATCTCTTTTTCTCGTTCCAACTTTAGGTTGCCCTGGTGAATCACATAGTTCACGAGAGTCAGGTTTTTCGGACTCAGTACTGCCACGAAGCCTTGATAATGCAGAGAACCCTGTCTGGGCTCTTGCCATACTTGCTCTGGAGAGATCGAACAGAGACATTGGGGCTTCCTCATTTGTACGAGCGTTGGTGCTTGTCGTAATTTGTTTAGTAGGGGCATTGGACTGAAAGCCACCAGGCATGAACTGATCATCCCCTTGTGTATCCCAAAGTGCTTCTTGCTCCGCTTCTAGTTTCACTGCCGCCTCAAGTTCTTCCTCACACCGACGATACGCATTCAAAATATCTTGGAGTGTCGACTTGGGAGCAAGTCGTAGTGCTTGCGCCAGGCATTCGATGCGCTGTTCAAGGTGCCTAACATTGTCACTTGCGCTTCCGTTGACTTGATTTGCGGGTGAGATGGTGTTTGGATTGCGCCGGTACTTTCCAGCTTCCAAAGCTGCCAGCCAGGACCAATCATCGATACTTTTTGGTGGTATTTCCGCTGTAAGCCCCGAGACATTATGATCAACATGAGGTGAGCGTGATTGAGCAGGGCCCCCAATCTTCTTCAGCCGTGTCACCACATATGAATATGCTGTTTCGAAGTCGTCCTCCGCAAGAGCAGCCGCAATACACATGCTGACGACCCGCTTGTCTGCGATCAGTAATTGCTCATTGAGATCCTTCTCCTCTATTTCTTTGGAAGAGCCATCGACATTCCGCATGGTGAGTCCAGCTTTGACCATCTCCCTACCAATAGCCAGAAAATCCACAATCTTGAGATAACTCCTCTCATTCTGGTCTAGAACTTTGCCAATAATCGATATAGGATCACCATGCACGCGTAGAGTAACAGGCTTGAAGTTTTCTCCTTGCTTGAAGACAAGCCTGTAGTTCTCGAGGGAATGCGTAACATTAACCAAGCTTTCGAGTTGGTGTCTTTGGAGAGAATCACTCAAGGTATCTGGAAATGCTTGAAGTCTGCAATTCAAATCAGCACTAAGCCAGGAAATAGCAGGGTACAAGGACTTACATGTCATGACATTTCTTAACACCCCCTCTGGTTTTGTTGGGGTTCGTAGCGTTATCGTAAGCGTTCATGGCTGCTGCGATAACGGTATCCTCCAGCGGTTTCTTCGATAATGGTCGGTCTGGGGACTTTTCGTAAATAGATCGAGCGAGTGTGTATCCTAGAAATACTATTAATAAAGTGATGTGGACAGTTCAGTGTCAAAATGTGCATACGGGTGTTTGTCAGAAGTAGCGTAAGAAGCTCGGCCTCAATAAACTCCTTGGAAAGTTGACCAAGAATGCCCTTTCCCTTTGAAGCATCTGCACCTTCTAAAGTTTCTTCAACGCCCCAACTGCGCAACCACAATATTTCATTTCTCAACTTGATCCAGTATTCATCGTCTCCTTTAGGCCCATTGCGAACATTAATTAGCAATTTGCCAAATTCGATTTTTTGCTCAGTCTCGTCTTGAAGCAATGCCAACTCCCCGGCTCTTCTGACAGTAAAACCAGACCCAATTCTTGTACATATATACGCAGAAATAACCAGCGCATGTAAAATTTGGACCGAAACCTCTCCTGGTTTCGTCAAGTTGTTCTCTTCACTAAGAAGATTATTGCGAAGGTGTAGAGAATGCTTGGCCGTAGGGAATTCTTCGTCCATGAAGATAGGCATCAACAAAGAGCAGGCTGCTGGTAACGACGGCACTCTGTCCTGGTCCATAAGTATGATGAGTCGTTCCAGAATTCGGTAGACTCCATTCAGAGCATCCTCACTTTCTTCAGGAACCAAATAAGCAGAAGCCAGCGCCGCTCGAGCATATCGTCGTTCCAGCAGTTGTTGCTCATCTTCGTCCAGCCAAATCGAGCCATTACCATACTCCCCAACGTCGACATCCCCTGGACCATCCCATTGTTCAATAGCATCTACTGCTGTTCTCCACGAACTTCCTGCCTGCTGTGTAATCCATTTAAATACCTCCTCCCAACCAATACACTTCTCATTCGAAACGGGGTTCTGATCAAAGTGCGTAGAATGTTGTAGTCCTGGTTGAGATTCTAATCTCGATTTTCTTCGTTTCCATCTGGTATCCCCATACATCCATGGCCCAACCAAGCCCCTTAGATCGCGTCCAACATTGCTCTCTGTACTTTCTTCGTCACTGGCCGTCTTGGAAAGAAGTAGCTTGACACCAGCTTCATCATCCAGACGTTCAAACTTGGGAATCGTGAGAGGGATTCCTCCTTCTGGGTGGTATTCGTAGTTGAATCGCAACAGTGGAAGGATCGTAGAGATCATCCAGGTTCTGAGATATGTGGAAAGGTGTAGAAACGGCTGTAGCAGCTCTGGAAGCTGGGTGATTATTCCCGTATGTTCATCTATCCGCAGCGCACGTAAAACAATAAATCGAATAAGTGGGCTGGGGTCTTCGTCTGCGAAATCATACGGTGGCTCTAAAGCAAGTAAACGTAATTTCCGCACTTTCTTCTTTGCCTGTACTTCATCGAGTTCGTCCAACCCAAATTTTGTTGGTTCAAAATCGGAGTCATTTTCTAACTCTTCAGCCTCAAGTCTGTGTAGAAAAGACACATATTCCGAAGCCTCGACAATTTCCGGCAAGTAGGTAAGGATGATTCGCAGCACAAGTTCTTTATGAAGCGGCTTTGGAAAGCGAGAGACAAGGCTTTCGAAGGATTTGAGGTCGACAGCAGCAGCTAGCTGCACTGCCAAAAGTACGGCTTTAGCTGGGGATACATCGGATCCTGCCATACTTAAACTGGTCCAAAGATAATGGCGGCATGGGCATTTATGGATGTTGGCGCATGGATGATGCGAATTGCGAATAGCTGTCCAAACTGGGAACTTTGGTGTTGGCCTGACCGGAACAAGGCATCAATGCAACCTTAGCGTCTTGTCTCAACTTCAACCTCGCAACTACCCAAACCACTCCGGACAAGTAGTACAACCAATTGAACACACAATATGGCGTCTGGATATGGATATAATGGAGGTAAGGATTTAATGACCACACATAGGTTCTGCCGAGGATTCAGGAGCTCAAATTGGGGCTCAATGGCTAATCCACGCTCACAGGAACCTCCCGATGCTTTCCCTTCTGGCAAGAGGTTCTAGCTTGCTATGTCGTCAACACAAACTCTGAGGACGATTCGGGAAAGAAAAAGTGTGTGCCTGTGTTGGAGGATTACTATGAGTGTTTGCACCACAAGAAAGAGGTGAGTGGGAGAGCTATATGGCGTGTCGGGATGCTGGACTGGGCTGATGAGACCCAACCACGTAGGCATCGAGAATTCGAGCTTTACAAATCGCATACCGCAGGGCTGAAACAGAAACGCCTCGCGACAACGTACCACCAGCGGGAGCAATTCGAAGTTTGGGGTTGTTAGATAAGGAAGAAGATACCAAGAGTGCACCCAAATGAGCGAACGACGCTGGGAAGGGATGGATGTCTGTAATTAGGGAATATAACAAATGCGGAAGCACAAACAGAAACAGGGACTCTTCTTTCCAAATCTCGGTCAATTATCGTCTGGTGGTATAGCTTCAGACGCCCTGAGCCAGCTTTGCCCCAAGCAATAAACGTAAAGTTTGCCTGCTTCCGTACTGCGCTATTATGAGCTCATTGGAAAAGCCTCGAATGGTATATGTATTGTTGAGTTCAAACTGTTGCATTTTTGTCTTGATTGATACAAATAATGTTAACTATAATAGCTGTCCTTGCCTGAACTCCACTTCATATGTATAGATCACCACGGCTAAACGACGAAGTATCATACGTCATTCCAGATACTATTCCATATTTTCAATAAATTGGATATATAGTCGAAAACTTGGCTGCCTTTCAGAGACGCTGTCATTGAAATGAAACATAGTATATATGTACCGGAGTACACGGTATACCATGGTTCCCCACTGTCAATGAACTCCTCCTTTACGAGTTACTGAAGATGAATGCTGAAGCCCTTGCGAATGATCGATATTCGGCAGACATAGAAATCAGTTAGTTTGAGCATTCATGCAGATATTTTCCGAGCTCAGTAATTCCGAAGCTGCTTCTCAGGTAGAAAAGGTTCCATTTGGTGATGGGTAAGAAACTTGGTTATTACCGTCCTTACACTTCTTTACTAAGTGTCATGCGAATTGTTCCAGGGCAACTAGTTCGTAGTATCGTCAAGAGATTAGAAAGATTTGAAAGTCGGATTCCTCATCCTACTCGGAAAATTGTTGGCTCACTAAAACAGCACTCACCTTTTTTATTGGTTGCTATGAAAATTGGTGACTAGGCGGAGATCTGGGGTAATTTGATGGCTTGACGTCGACCTGCTCCCGCCCCAAGCGAGGACCGCTTCAAGTTCCCTATTCCATTTCCCTCCATTCAGGACTCGCGCTAGTATTATCAGCATCCGTCCATCTCGACAACGCGCTCCACATCCGCTCAAGTAAAACGGGGAGGCCATCGCGTCCATTTCGTTGTTCACTGGTGATTCATTTCCACCACCAACAGTCTCAACGCGAAACACCATTGGCATTCCGAGATGCCTCGCAATAATGGAATTGAGTTCAGTCTTGTTTGTTTGTCGAACCTGGGCACTCTCCCAGAGTTCCCTCATCCAGACAACACGCAGTTCACCAACAGATTTCAGCACAATGATCGAGGAGACGCTCAGGGGCAAACCTCTGATGCTGAGTCAGATACAGCTACAGACGCGGGCTCATATGGAGCTTTCGAAAGGGAGTTGATAAGTCCAAGCCATGCCGTCAAGGTTCAGAGCAAGGCCGAACGAGTCTTGGGAAAGGAAGCAGCAGCCGTGGTTCACGTGGGAAAGCCCACCCCCAAGATCGAGAGCAAAGCGGATCGAGTATTGGGACGACAAACCGCTGTTTCGGTTTACGTGCCGGCCGTCCCAGGTATGTAACGAGTTTATTTCGGACAATAGCTACTGACCTTGAGCAGACACACGATGGTGGCTGAAATATCGAATCCACAAGGAGGCCGAGCATCAACTGTTCTTCTTCAAGTTCTTTATAAACGGCAGAGAGATCGTGTCATGGGGTCATGATGCAGCCAAGAATCCATTTGGCCAGGTCTCGAGAGCATTCTTTGACCCTAGCGATGAGTTTGTCTATGAAGATGAAGATGGAACGATCTATAAGGAATGTGGTCTGGAGCTCCGAGCATTCTATTTTGTCGATCCCAGAGGTGGTTCGGCGGCTGCAGATGGAGGTCTGATAGAGGTTCGAGCTTACCGTGCCAAAGGGAAATTTCGATGCATGCAAGACCCACCCACTTATAAGAGTCAAAGGGATTATGGAATATTGTACGTACTCCTTGGTATCTTATTCAGAGGTTGTTTTCTACTCTAACACAAGCTGACCCTTTGATATCAAGATTACGTAGTGGCGGTCTCATGGATGATGCTAGCGATGCACGATTCTATAAATGGTTGCTGAAAGATCCCATTGACAAGCCATATGCTACATTCAAATTCCACTATCGTAGCTGGGCAACTCTTCTACTGTTGCAAATTGTCCCCGAAAATGCACCTCATATCTTGATACCTCCGTCAAAGAGTACCCTGGATTTATATGGTCACTCTTTGGCGACTCAGTATCTACTCGACGAGAAGCACTTCAAAGCATATGAAAGAGAGGAGCATAAGAGAAGGGAGAGAGAATTCGCCAGAAAACTTGCTCGAGCAAGTCTTAAATCTCGCCTGCGAATGTCCCGAGTTTACCTTCCACGAATCTCCAAAAAAGTCGAAAATTCTGACGAGGAAGAGGGTTGGGAAAATTGTGAGGATGGTGGAGAGGGAGAGGGTGTTATGGCCACGAGTGGTTACGATTCTGACGGTACCTCACTCAATAGTCCCAGAACTGTCGTACCTGCCGATTACAGAACGGTAAATGAAGACGATTTGAGAGCCCCAACAATTGCAGAGCGTCCCGGCACCCCATTTGAAAGTATGGAGGATGACGACAAAATTCCCAATGTTCCAGATCTGGAAACAATATCTCATCGCCACCATCAGATCAGAATGCTCAGACATTCCGAATCCAGAGCATTCTCAAATGAGTATGATGTTACCGATGAGGTTGCTCCTAAGAAGTATAGGTATGCGGCGATATCAACAAACGATAAAACTCCTGTACTTCTGAGCTCCCCAATAAAGCTTAGATCATTTAGGCCATCGTATCCTCGCCACTTTGATTCAGTCGATGGGGCTACAAAGGCGTTTCGGTCACCAATGGAAGTATATCAAGAATCAAAAGCTGCTGCGTGGTCTGAAAAGGCCCAAAATGTTTCGCCCGATGATACAGGTGGTAGCATAAGCTCAGCGCTTAATCAGCGCCCACTGCCTAGCCTCCCGGTTCGCGATTCTTCTCTCCAAAACAAGCCCTTTGTCTCTCAGCATCCACTCACAAGATTCAATTCAACAGGCCATAAATACACAGGCTCTTCAGAATTTACAGAATCTCTGTCAGATGGCGAGGGAGCAGAACACATCTCAAGTTTCGTTCATCAGCGTAAGCGATCTGGATCTTTGATTGTTACCTCGACCCAACCACGCCAACCAAAGACGCTGCAAAACGTATGCAAGCACAAGAGAGGCAGTGACAACTTGGCGCAGGCATATGCAGTTCGTGGACCCGGAAGCTCACCAGTCGAGGACCATGGGTTCCACTTCTTCGATGTGCCATCTGAATACCAACCACGTGCGGAGGATTTACCACCATGGCAAACTGGATACTCGGATTCAGATAGCGACATGTCCGATGTTGAACGTCCATGCTCGTCTCTCAGAGAGCAGGCTGTTTCGCATACCCCAAGGACCTATACACCAACTGAAATTCCCCTCTCAAAATTTAATGAACAAGAAAAGAGCAAGGCTAAATCTGAGCCGACGAGAATCTCTTCCAATCAAGACCGGCCTTCTCTGGCTCCTGATGCTAATCCCGCTAGAACATCCACCTCCACTGGAAGAAAAACCCCGACCACACCTGCTAAAAGTCCCAAATCCCTACGTGGCTTTCGACAATCATTGAAGAATATCTTAGGTAGTAAGAAAGCTGGATCAGGCCCGAACAGTTCTACTAACTCGCCTAAGGGCCCAGAGACGAAGGAAGTCCCTGGATTCTTATGAGCCAACTTGGAAAGTGTTCGGGGTATGCCGTTGCAAGACTTTGTAGGGTATTGCTCGTTTCTTTTGTGCGCCGCGTTGTCATTTATAACTGGTGATTTGCTTCAAGTATTGATTGGTCTTCTATGAGCTTTGGTTGCATCTTCGCTTGTGGAATTGATTGAAAATGGTAATTATCTCTGGAAGATTAGAAAGATATCGAAATGAGATTGTTTGAGAACCATTTTGGACCACAAAGAGGTTTGGTGGGTGAGATTGTCTATTTGTTTTGTTTCTCCTTCGTCTTCCTTTTTCATTGGGAGCATGATTAGGAAGATCTTGTTGAAATCTCCGTTTTGAAACCAATCCATTTGCTACACTTTTTCTACTTTACATGCCCATTCCAATTAACTGCTTCATCTCCACTCTGCGACGCAGGGAGACGTCACCTGATTCCATCGTCCTTACTCAATTTCTCAACTCAAATAGCCCACATACTAAATCCATAGCCATCTTCAAAACTTACAAATCCTCCCAGATATTCACTATCCATCACATTCTCACATGTTACATCAACATTTAAAACACCGTCAAAATCTTCCTTTTCGTGTAAAGCAACCTTGATAACAGAACAATCGTCGAACCTACAAGACACATAACGCCGCTGAAGATCTTGAGATCCAGTCAGCCGTTCTTTGAACTTTGTAGGATAGCTCCACCCACAGGTGATAAAGTCAGTGCGGGGAGCGAGATGGAAAGCCAGAATATTCCCATCCGGTATCCATACTCTGGTAATGGACAAACCGAGATGGGAAGCGTGCTGGAAAGACCTATGAATGCACCTGAGGTGCAGCCGAACATGATTGTGAAGCCGATGGCGATGGGTGGTGACTTAGCGGGAAACCAGAGAGCCCAGATGGAGAGGCTGGAGAGCATGCTGCATATTATGAACATGTTCTAGCGGCCGAGTCTGTCGGCTGTGTAGCCAGCTATCAGGCGGCCGATTAGGCTTGTGGTTTATTAGCTAGTGTTTCGCAAGGTTTTTGGGTGCTGGTGGGTACTTACCTAGACGCATTGTAGATGGCCACCAATTGTTGGGCCATCTCATTCGACATATGTGCCTGCTGAAATCCCTGAACAGCGATATAAACAATAGGCACATAAGCCCCGAAAGTCATGACGAAAACACCAAACAGCAACAAAAGGAATGGAGACTCTCTAAAAGGAGCAGAAATTCGACCAGCAGAAATCTTACTAGATACCGGAGTAGTTCTCGAACGAACCGCAAAAATAGCAATGGACTTTAAACCAAGGATTATGAGAGCGCAGGTACGCATGGTCCAGGGAAATCCAATGGTTTCAATCATGCGACTAACTACAATGGGAAATACCACACACCCACTTGAGGCACCAGTCGAGAGGGTACTTAGTGCCAAAGCCCGTAGTTTTGAGAAGCAGGTTGATATATACGCCAACGCTTTCCAACTCTGCGTCAGTACCATCCTAAATACATCGACATGACAAAAGGGGTCGACAAACCAGGTGTAAACAAACACGCAACCCCACCGCACTAACCACCCCCTGCGCCGCAAGAAAATGCGCATATCGCCACCCCAAACTCGCCATCATGAGACCGAACACATGCAGGAACGTCCCGCCTATGACCAACGGTCGCGGACCGTAGTTATCGAATAGAATCCCTACGATGGGACCTAGTGCGAAGAGGAAAAAGAGTTGCAGGGAGGGGATACAGGCGATGGTGCTGGTGAGGAAGTCGTGCAGGGGCCCGATTTGGTAGTATTGTTGGAAACTGCCCATACCTGTGGTTTGTGTTGGTGGAAGGGGAAAGGGGGGAAGAGGGGGTTACTGTTTATCCAGCCTAGACTTGAGAATGAGCAGCACCAGGAGCCTAGGACTACTAAACACGCTGCTGCTCCCCCGTCTGGGGGAGTGTTGGGTTGGGACTCTGTTTCTATGGCTGGTTCATGGTGGGTACTGGTGGGCTTGGAGTCCGTTGGTGTGGTGTTAGGGATTTGGGAATGAGACATTGTGGAGAATTGTGGGGAAGAATGGAACCCCGTGGGGAGTTGTTGTGAAGAATTGGAAGAGTGCTCTTACTGCGGGGGTTTTTATGTAGACAGATAAGTGGCGTATTGGTCTGGAGATGTATTCACTGGTCTATATCTTATCGCATGTTTTTCATTAGTGGATGTGGGGAAAACTCGGTTGGTATGGTTAAGCGAATGTAATTTCCTGTCCCTGGTGGTAACCCCGCATTTGCCTCTCTCTCATGTTTTGAAACTTTTGCTTATACTCAGGTTCACGTAGGAGGTGGAGGATATATTATTATGGGTCAAACAGCCCCTGGGGCACTTGTGAGGCTATTCGCACCCTCATCAAGTGGAGCCCAGGCTACCAAGCGCTCAATTAAGGCCTATCTCACTAACTAGATCTGGTGGCTAGCTTGGGGATGGTGGAGGGTTTTAGAAGAAACTGCTCTTTGCGAGCGTATAACAACAATCAGTGGATTTGTTGTTGTTGTGGACAAGTGATCGAATGGATCAAACGATATATGCAAGCTTGCTTAGTCACCATCGATACGCAAAACACATCCTGCATATGGTGGAAAATGGAGTCAATTTGATCAAAAGGTGAATTTTCAACCGAAAACAGAGGCTAAAGATGCCCCCTGAATAAGCGAGTAAAGAAATTGTGTAGGAATAGCCCCGGTGTAAATCGTGGCATACCTCTTCACTTGTTGTTCTTATCAAGGATAGCTTTACGAACGATAATTAGGAAAAAGAGAGTCCGAAAAGTGCGAAAGGCATGAGGATTTGTAGGAGGCAGAGCCTCTTTATATATAATCCTCGTTTACAGTGTTTAAAATCTCCCCTCTATAGTACTCCTCGCTACTCCTACTTAATACTCCTTTCTATTTCTATCTAGACTAATTAATACTCTTTATCCTTACTAGGGTACTAGAAAGGAAGGGTTCAAAGTACTCCTAAGGCTAAGTATTATAGGTTTTAGTAGGTCTAAGTAATAGGTCTAAAATATAGTAGAAATAAGGTCTTAGTATCGCTCTAGAAGTAACCTAGAACTCGCCTATAGCCCTACTATAAGTTTAGTACCTATTAGTATACTAGGGGGTTAGTATTTCTCGGGAATTTAGCGTTATTACTTAGATATCTTACTTAATTCTACCTTTAAATCTATTGAATTTATTAAATATTCTACCTTTAAATGCTTTAAATAAACTATTAAATACTTAGTTAAATAACCCTCTATTAATATACATAGCTCTAATAATAGAACCATCCTAGGTATTAACCGATTCTTATATAGTAGAGCTTCTTTAGTAACGCCTATATCTAATCTAGTAAATAATAATAATTCTAAATTAAAACTATCTCTAATACCCTTATAATTATAGTCTATATTCCTTAATATATAAGAATCTTATAAAGAAGATCTAGTAGATAGTAATTTACCTAGTTCTAAAGATAATACTATCTTAATATTATTTATTTTAACTTTCTTATACACTAGTAATATACTAACTAACGCTAACTTTACTTATAGAACTATTAATGTGACAGACGTGCTTCAGGTAGAACTCAGAACAATTAACACTCTATTCTTAGGACAAAAGACGAGGAAAGAAGGAGAGCTCGAGAGAGCTGGGAACTAAATACAGGTCGTGCGCGCTAGCGCCTCGCTAAGCGAGCATGTGACATCCAGCCCTCGTGACCATAACCGTCACAATTACTCTTAATTAATTAATTAAAGCTAAAACTAAAATTAAATATACTCTAATAATTACCTTAATTCTATAAGATTTAAAGGTTAAGATTAATACAAATTAATATATACTTTAGAAAACGTTTTTAATAAAAGCTATAAGAAAGACTACCTAGTACTAAAAGTATAAAATAGAGTTTCTTTATATATTTAATAGTTAGTTTCTTATTCTCTTCTACCTTTAGAATATTCTTACTAAATTTCCTAGTAAAAACCTATATAAATAAACCTAATAGAAATTATTTATTTCAATAATATAAGTACTATAGGATTATCTAAGACTTGACTACTAATACAATAAATAAAGAATAATACCTTCTAAAGAACTATAGTATATTAAAGACTAGTAGAAAGATATTAAATATATTTCTTCTTTAGTATAACTAAGACTCTAATACTATTATTTAAAGTAGTAACGTTATAAGAGAGTAGTACCTTTAAGTAGAAAGAGAGAGGTATATAAACATAGTTATAATAGTTCAATCTATTTCTTTTTAAAAGGTTCTTATTATATAGATTATAATATACTAGTTGGTATTATTACTTATAATTAAAAATCTTTTATTAAGTTCTTTTAAATAATATTACTAAGTACTAAGAAACTAATCCCTAGGTATAGTAAAACTGTTTTTAACTAGGTTATTAACGTATTTAAAAAGTAGAAAAAGAAGATTAAAGATTATCTACTAAATATAAAGAGTAAAATTAGCTTATTATTTATGTGACAGACGTGCTTCAGGTAGAACTCAGAACAATTAACACTCTATTCTTAGGACAAAAGACGAGGAAAGAAGGAGAGCTCGAGAGAGCTGGGAACTAAATACAGGTCGTGCGCGCTAGCGCCTCGCTAAGCGAGCATGTGACATCCAGCCCTCGTGACCATAACCGTCACATCACCCCCCCCTTTAAAAAGAGCTCGCCCCGAGCGTTGAAAATCTGAACTAATTGTGAAAAATACCCTTTTGCCAGGCATCTGGATGGTCAGGATCGTCCGAATCTACCTCCGCGCTATCGTAAGCATTGTCGTTCATAGCTGCTATTACTACTCTGCCTGGTCTTGCAATCTGCTTTCGTACTGGCTTTGGGAATGCCTCCCCAGCTGGTAGATCCCCCAAATCTATGGCTGATTTCCTTCCTTGTGGTCCTGGTGAGAAAGGACGGAGTATGCAATCGTTGACCCAGTGTTCCAAGGAGCCACATCGTACACACCTGCCTTCAGCTCTATATTGATCTCTACGCTCAGGGGAAATAGAGCGAGCGCGTGGAGGAGAGGATGGGTCGATGGAATTGATGCTAAAAGCATTTATGTCCATTGGTTCGCTGTGGTGGTTGCCAGAGGAGTAGGACTGTGTAGGTTGTGTAGACGAAGAGAAGCGGCCTGCTAATTGTTGTACGACGCGTATGAATGTAGTATAATCGCGAGGTAGGTTGAGTTGTTGAGAAAGTCGTCCGCGAAGAGTAGAATTAAGGCCATTCCTAAAGGTGGAAATTTTGTTGACATCTGGCCAGTCCTGACCTCTTGCTTCGTAAAGGACACGCTCAAACTTGGCGATATATGTAGGGACTGAGTCAGCACCTTGCTTGAGGGCAAATAGCTTGTCTTCCGCCTCCTGTACCTTGTTTGGATTGTCGTACACGCGCGCGAGCTGTTCGAGGATTGTTTGGTAGTCCCAGCTTTGGGTGTCTTCTGCTTGAGAGAGCTGTGGAAGGACCATGGCTTGGACGTGGGAGTCAAGGTTGAGGTAGACGTAGTAGAACTGCGCAATAGCGTCTCCAATAGCTGTACCGTCGACTCGTAGCTTTGCTTTGATTGAGGGAAGCCAGGTGTCGAATTTATGAGCCTGGCCAGTGAATTTGTCAGGGTCTGGGAGGGAAGGTTTAGGCTTTGCGGATGTTCTTGACCGGAGTAAGTGAATCTCGTCGCGCTGTCGCTGGACTTCAGCTTGCAACTCAGCGATGGCGGACTGAACTTGAAGGGCATCCATTGTAGAGAAGTCGAAAAAAGAAGAGGTTTCGTCGTGTTGTAAAGTGTAGGGTTCTTGCGCACAAGAAAGTGGTAGAAATCGTGAGAATTGAGACGTAAGATCGTGGACCTGAACTTGGACGTGAACGTGAACTTAGACCTGGGATACTTAGCCTCAACTAAGGGTCTTTTGTAATGTGAC